ATCTACATGTATGTCATGAATTTAGACATTTCCATATTAACAAAAACAAACATACCGGCTGACCAAACTCGTTAGCGAAACAAATTGCTTCATGTATTGCTAGTCTACAATTATACAGATTAACAGGACGTCCTGACTTCTTCAAAACATCTTCTAATGTTTCCTCAGATAGCAAGTTGTCAGAGAAAGCAGTTGTAAGTTCCTACAAATAGATATCTAGGATGAATAACGGAAAAACAAAATAAGGTGGGGGGCGGGGGGGGGGGGGGTAAGTAGGAGGGGATTGGAAGAGGTTAGGGGTTTTGATAGGAGATGGTGAAAACGTGGGGTAAGGTCTTGAATAAAATCTTCAAATATATACTGTTATCTTTGGGTCTATAAAAATATTTGTTTTAATAATATTACTTATAACAATAAACACACATCTCTCCATTGAATTGTACCTAGAAACCATAATTCAGTCAGATTTCAAATGAACTGTTTCATAGGTTGAATTTTTTATGAACCCGAGATAATGTAAGGCTGTCAGTAATATTATGAGTTGATGTTTTAAGGACAATAAGTAACATCTATTCTAGAACCACAATGATGGGACGGTAAAAAACTAATATAAATCTAATTACCTGGATAGACAAATCAGCCAAGCTCTTACCCTCTTGAAAGCTTGCCATCTCTTCCACTGATAGAGGTTTTCCATCACGTATATTTTTAATAAGATTGTTTAAGTTTAAACCCTGGAGAGAATGTCTATTCTTTAAAATTACTGTAGCAGCCATTCTCTAAAATATATAACTTCATATAGTTGAATTTAGTGTTAGTGTTTATACGACTGTATCTCATGTGAAATATAAGCTAGTTGAGTAAAAACTCTCCTCCAAAATATTTACAAAAATACTTGCAACTTCGTAGATATTAAAGTGCTTCTCGACACGTCGGTCGGTGCAGCTCGGCTAGTCAAGAAAGGAGGGAAATGGTCTGCCCAGAATCCACCGAGCCTATGATAATATCAGGGAGTATAGATTGGAACTATTTGCAGAAATCTCATTTAGAACTTTCCGATGTCGAGCCGAGTAAATTATTAGAATCTGGTTAGAAATGTAAAATATGACGACCATAAAAATTCCCCCTCTACAGGAAGTGACTATTTTCAAACTTTTTCTTTCTATTTCTCAAAATCTGACAAATCATATTTTCAGACAAAAAAATCTTGGCAGCTTTAATTTTTATACGCCCACATGAAATGGGGGACGTATATTGTCGTCACCCATGTCCGTCAGTCCGTCCGTCCTCCGTCGATAGATCCGTCGGTCCGTCCGTCGATAGATCCGTCCGTCCGTCCTCAATTGCTCGTAAATAGCCTACAAGGCACAATTCTTGACTGATTTCGACAGTAACAGTAACAATCACCAGTATGAAATATTCAACCTTCAGTCATACACTTCTTTTGAACTTTTTGAGGCGATACTGAATAATATTATCAGGTTTCGTCAATCCGACAAGAATCGTGCCTTTTAGTGTTTTCAAAAACAAGTACAAAATCTCACACTAAATATTTTTCTGATTTTCAATAGGGCTCATCCTGATTACAAATACTCACACCAAGTTTCTTCAAAAATCGTCAAGAATAATATTCTGTCTTTTAAAGAGTGTTTACGAGGCATTTGGTAACAAGGGCAATAACTCACAAATTATTCAATAGGCAGCATGAAAAATCTCCAATCTCACAATAAATAGAAAAGTAAAACACGTCGCTAGATCTTGTCAGTGCCAGTGACTGGCAACAACAAACGTTCAAACGATCTCTCTCGGTTATTTTTAATGCCCAAGTCATTATGTTTAAGAGGTTTTACATTGAAAGGGGTGCAACTCGTGACTACAAACTTTATCCATTGAGCTGGACATTCTATTTGGCTAAATGTTAAAACTTTGGCTATCTTAAGATAAAATGGAATTTCCTAGGATTTATAATAAAGAATCATAGAGATTTGAAATGAAAATTTTTTTTTATGATTAAATGAGATAAATTTCAGCCAGAATAATAGGATGACGTTACTAGAGACTTATTTACTTCTGAAAAAAAACAGACTTCGCTAGTAGGCGACTGATATTTAATTAAAACCAATATTTCTCACAATTATTTGTCGAAAATAGAAGAAATCATACATTTAATTAACATAGCATGTTTCAAATCAAAACTGTAGCCTCTATTATAAAGAGGATTAGGTAAACCCATCGTGACTTTCTCAAATGACTGGAAAAATAACAACATGTTCAATCAGTTTTAGACATTCTTCATTACATTTTATAATTTTATAATGTTTATTAATAAAACAGTAGTCTAGATTCAGAATAGGCTACTTTGATTAATTTCATTAAAACATAACTTTCACAATCTAGCTGCTATACCCTGTTCAAATTATAGACAATATTTTACTGCTTTTAAGGGGCTGATTCGATTTTAATCTTGAATGTATGTAGATAGTCTTCTAGAACTAAAAATGAACGAAAATGGCATAATTCCTTTAAAAATATCTCAAACTAGGAATTTAACTTTCTTTTCCTTTCATCGTGTCCCGAATACGGGTTTTGACAAGTCTAATGACGAATGGGGGTGTGGTTTGGACACGATATACTTCTGTATACTTTGATTTGAAGTAAGCTGTGAACACTATTACTGATTAATTTAGGTACAAAATTCCCGTTTCTGAATCGGAACAAGTTCAATAGTTAAGGTCTTTGAATGGCAATTGTGAGTACGATATATAGACACAGCTTTATGGAACAACAATCACTGGTTAAAGTTTTATGCAACGTTTCGACGTGTTTCCCCCGTCGTCCTCAGGCACATAATGAGAAGAAGTGATGGGCAAACTATATATACATTATACATTAAGTTCAATAGTTCTTACACTTAGTTGGGTTGAGATTAAACGTACATTCGGCAATCCTCGGCAGTTTCCGTAAGGCTGAATCGGACTCTGTAACGAATAGTGAATTCCGTTGTATCTTCCTGGGCGAGACTCTTTACTTCCGGTATTTAGCAGTGTTTTGTCAAGAGATAATCATCTACCTACCTACCTACCTAGTGATAGTAATATTGCGACCTCTAATATTTAAATTACCAGAATCACGTGATCACGTGACAATATTGATAAACGTTTTAGCAGAAGTGATAATTTTTTACTAAATAATGTTTCCTGGTCTCAACAAGGATGTGATTTATAGTTATTTATAACCGTATAACTCGCAAAACCAGTTTTATATCAATTCTCGTGGA